ATATATCAATTTCCAACCTTTCATCTGATGCAGTTTCATAACGATGACTTAATTAGTCAAACGCCTTTGCAGGCCGTAACAGATTTGCAGCAGATCTTTTGGGCTGAAAAGGTGGTGCCATTTTATCTGCCAAAGGGACACAAATGACATAAAGCCATACTCAACCAGGTCTTTTAAAAGGTCTCCAGAGAAATGAGTCCTGGTGCAATCACATTTGGTGCTGTGTAGTTTATAGTGAACTAGGTATTACGCTTCTCCAGAGCCACTGACATATAACCAGTGTACTAATATTAATAATAATAACATAGTTTTACTCTTATATCCCACCACCATCTTCCCAAATTGTTATTACTGACTTTTTGTCGCCTTTCCATGCAGGCAAAGATATGAAGGCTGTATACCAAGCAGTTAAAAAGCAGAAGCTACAGGACCTGATGTCTGTTCTATAAATAACTATATAAAGAGGTGATAAATATTCTCAGAGGTAATTCACACTGTTCAATTAATTCACCCTCCAAAAGACCAGTGCCCAGCAACTATCACCTCAGATGTTGGCAGTGGTAAGCATGCAGTGCTTTGCTGCAGTACTTCACTTTAAGTAGGGGGATTGTGGACCTGATCTCATCATTACATGGTGGGTTACCGATAAAATCTGAGTACATACACCCAAGCTCTGTGGAGGAAGATTTCAACTAGAACTGACACTATGGAGAAGATATGGGTGTTGACGGTAAACAAATACTCCTTCTGGCAATATGAAAGGGCAACCTCTTGTGGGATTGCTCCCTCAGGAATGCCAAGAGCTGTTTGTGTTTGGAGTATATGCACCCAGCAGGGGTCAGATATTAAGCATTTTGCTGACTGGTTGTTTCAAGGCTTCCTTCATCCCAAGGATGTGTTTGTCTTAACTGCTTTTTTCCAAATTATATGAGCATTCTTATATTTGTTCAGTTCCTGGACTTCACATTGTCCATAAATTTATATGTGATTCTTAACGTTGAAGGTCCAATTTGTAGTCTGTCTTCTAAACTGGGGCGGGGAAAATGTGGCTGGTGGTTTACATGAAGATTCATGGCCACATGTGGCCTCGGGATCATTTTTGTGGCCCCAGAGTCATTTTTGCCCCACAAGTGCCTCCTAGGGGACATGGCAGTATTAGTGCCATGTTTTCTGCTATAGAAACTTCAGACTTGGAGAGGACTAGTTCAAAGTAGCTGCGTCCCTGCGGAGGCTAATGCATTCCTGCTAGCTGACAGTAGTTCACTACTAGTTTAAAGGGTCTGCTTTCTTCTGTCTACTGCCCAGAGTTTTAGAAGTAGCAGTCTGTCTTGTCTCATTGAGCTATGTATGAAGGGATGACAACTCTTTAGCATCCAGGCCTGAGCTTTGAAAAATTGCATTTTTAGACTACAACTTCCAGAGTGCCTCAGATATTGCAGTTCAGGGCTGTTGAATTCTGGCCATTCTGGGTAGGGATTCTTAGAGTTCTAGTCTTAAGTAATTTTACCATCTATGGCGTGAGACAGTCTCACTCACAACATGCCCTGGGTATGTCAGCCCATTTTGAGAAGTATTGTCTTTTCCATTTGGGAGCAATTTTACAGTAGTAAAAGCAGGAAAAAAAGGTTTCACTTCAGCCCCGCCCAGAACTTAATTGGCATTATGTGGTAGAAACTGACCATAAAGTCATTCTGGAGGACCTAGAGGTGCCTAGAAAGCTGTCCTATCTTGGAATTTCCTGATCCTCCAGTGTGAGTCTATGGTATTCTTCCACCAGTTATCATTCATTCAATAGGATTCATTATTATTCATGATGTTTGTCAACCATGTAAGTCTTGAAATGCATCCTCCTGTATATATGTGTTAACTACATATTAACTGTAAGGAGCACTTGGGAAATATATAAAAGACTGATTTAAGCCGTTGATCTTGGTGATGAAATATGAAAAAGATACCAATAGCTGACGATCAACCAAGCTTTAGGGGCAAAAGATGGTGTCATAATAGACTGTGCAGCTTTATCGAATGGGCAGCACCTGGTTCAGGGGGTGGGGAGAGGGGGATGGAGAGGGAGAGAATCCAAAATTTAATTTCAGTAAGAGCAATCTTTGAAAAAGCTTTAAAACTATGAAGGTCTATTATTTAAAATGTATGGAAATTGGCTGTGCTGTCTGTGGGATTCTGGGAGTTGTAGCCCAGAACAAATCTTTTCTAACTTCTTATGAATCTGAAGTTCTTATGTCTGAAGCCCTTGAAAACAGCACAACTATTCTCATTTGTTATTTTATGATTGAGTTCCATGTCTGTTCAGTGAACCTACGCACAGTGGCTAATGCAATGGTGCACACATTCTCAGTTCAGCTCACATGAACTGCTGACATTGGTATGCTATGGCACAAGTCAGAAGTGTTGCAAGCGTGTAATTTTAGAATGTCCGCTGAAATCATACAACTGTTTATGGTATCAGCCTGGCATGGGCATTTTGCCACTTAACATGGGCAAGGTCGATATGTATCCCTCTCTATCTCTCAGCCTATGATATTCTTCACTGAACAGCATTCCCCTCTGTGCTTTATCTGCAACTTTATGATGGAGAGCTATATATGATATATTTTATTATAAATGTCCTCTATTATGTTCAGTCTCAGCTGTAGCAGCACATTGTAATAGCAGATTGCAATGATCAATTTATTACCTTATTAGGAATAATCTGGCATCCTCCCCACAATGGCATTTTAATTCTGATTCTGTTTGTAATTTGTGTACGACTAATGGTGCTTGGCCATTCATTTACTGAAGAGTGAGCTGTGCTTCGGTCTCTCTGGTCCTTTAAGGACTGTGGGATGCTGACCAAGATCTTCCTGGAATTACAGGATATAGGATAGGCCCTCCTTGAACATAAATTTGTCATCAGACAAGTTCTTATTGCAAGTCTTAAGCCTAGTTTTCTGCATTGTGCACCTCTAGCTCCTTTGGCCTGTTTGGGCTGTAAATTGGGTGTGTTTCTCCTCAGTATAGAAAACAGTTGCTAGATGAAAAGAGAGAAGTTCAAGGATATAGAACGTAAAATGAGATATGTCTGGAAAAATACACTGAATGAATCTAAAAAGCACATGACTGACCAAAGGCAAAGAGATTATCCATTCATATCATGAAGATAAACGTATCACAGACCATCTGGGGATACTTGATCTTCCAGTAAAAAATGATTGACAGGAGCCTGCTGGGCTTCATTAATGTCCAAGGCGGAAAACTGTTTGCCTGCCATTATCTTTACTTCAAAGACTTGGATTTGTATCAGTTGAAATTGGACAACAACATTATTTCCATTTTTCGCATGAGTTTGTTTTACTTATTGTAACTATCCCATCCAACAATACACTGTAGCACACCTTTACTGAAACTTTCTGTATTTTTGTCCATCTCAGATAAATGATTTGTAATCTATACCCGAGACATGGAAATGTCTACTTTTCCTTACCTGTATTGTGGTCAGATCCAATCGTATCCAGATCCAATTTATTTGCCTGCACCCTTTGGGATTAATATTTTTAACAAGACCTTGTTCACGCAAACAGTTGGGATGGTAAATTAGTCCATCCAAGTTGTATATAACCTTTTCATTAAGCTGGGCTTGCCTGAACCAGCTTACATCATTGGCAAGTGGCCAAATTACTTGTAAAGACTAGATATCTGTTACTTCTAATTGCTTGTTTCCTGGCAAACTTCCAAAGAATAAGTGAGCCAGGCCTTCTCTCTATCATTTTGAGATTTCTGTGTGCCAATCTTACAGAAGTGGAGAAAGAGTCCTGACTCATTTTGTTCACACACATGAGTGGATATGCAGGTGTGGGGGGAAAGGATGGCTCCATTTTCCTCATTGCATGAGGGTTAAGGGTGTGAAGGACCACAGATAAATCAGTCTCCTTGCTGTGTAGTCTGATTGTGTTGCTGCAGTACCATAAGGCCATAACTGTTTTATCCAAGGCAGAAAAATGAAAGTGGTACAGTAGACTCTTTTGACTGGTGCTCACTTTCAAAACCCATACGACTACATACAAATATACCCAATACAATATACAATATACTGTATAATTTCAACCTCAGTGGAAGCTACATAAATGGTGACTTACAAGCCCCATTATTTAAGTTGGAACTAAAATCGAATTTAACAATATATCCCATACAAGTAAACATGTTATTGAATGTGTGCATTTTGTGACTTTGATCAAGAAAATTGGATTTTCTGCAGTATTTAAGCATGTAACATAATGACAATATTGGATAGTGACGCCATGTAAAGATATGTGTTGGAAAGGAGAGGCTGAAAGAAAGATCTTCTCTCTGTTTTGCCCTTTTTCTGTGTCTAAAATGTGTCATTGTGTGCAGATGTCTGCATGTATGTTTTATTGTCAAGACAGGATTGCTGGGACATTTCTGGACTGCATGGCTATGTTCCAGAAGCATTCTCTCCTTACGTTTCACCCACATGTATGACATTCATCCTCAGAGGTTGTGAGGTCTGTTGGAAACTAGGCAAGTGAGGTTTATATATCTGTGGAATGTCCAAGGTCAGGACAATTTGTGTCAAACTGGTTTTGCTACAAAAGATGTAAGATCAAGTTCACACAGTCACTGGACTCAAACCTTGGAATCCTTTTACATATTGCTTCATTTATTTTTTAGATGTTTGCAATGGTATTAACTAGCATGTGGAGGAACAGTTGAATTAGACCAACTACACATTCAAGTTCAGCCGTACATTAAACACCTGACAGATTAGAAAGGCATTTGGATGCTTTAGATATGCACAGACTTGTAAAGAACAAGTGGAAGCATGTACTTTATTAATTTAGATTCTTTTCTTTATGGAACAAGAGCTTTGGCTAATTAAGCTGTCTCTGATGAGTAACCTACAAATTTGGGTTTACAGCAGCCCTATAAGTGAAAAGAACCAAACACCTTACTCCAGTCCAACTAACTTTCTTTTGCCATTTCAGCTCATTTGGACATTTCCAAGCAAAACAACATAATGTTGCCTCTGGGACTTCAGAAGGATCAGCTGCAAGCCCCAGTTTAAGACAAGGACTGTGCTTGACCAGGCTTTCTGTCACAAAGGTACTCAGCAACCAATATGCAACAACTTCCTTCAGCAGTCTTGTAAATGTTCTCAAATCACGCCTGCACTCTGCTGTGATTCCTGCTGGGGCTTCCTTCTGTGAAGTGCATAAAATCTGGCAGACAGATGGCATATAAGTATGTGTAAGACAGAGGTTTTAAATAAGATATGATTTACAGACCTGTAAACTTAATGACTGCAAAATGGATTATTTTTTTCAACATGAAGTATATTTGCTAATTGCTGCCATTTTGGTTTTTTCCTTTCAGATAGTTTTCAATCTGATATATATAGACATGTATAAGTTGACTTTATATATAAGTCACAAGGGCAGACTTGGGGCTTATTATAAGCCAAAGGTCATCCTGCAAAGAGGGGAGACCGCATATGTCATCTCAGGACATGAGCTGTGCTGGCCACCCCTGTCATTTTCTAGCCAGCTCAGAAGTTGCACTACAGCAGGAGTAGAGGAGGTCAGTGCTTCTTTTAGGCCACAAAGCTCTTATCCCAGGCATTTTGGACAAGGAATACTCAACCTATTATTAGAGAAGAATTTGACCATTATTTTGTAAAAAAAAATGAAAGAAGAGACAAGCCATAATTATTTCCACAGACACTGATGTCTGAAAGATTCTGTAAGCCCTAGATGTATACCAAGACACAACAATGCTGCTTACTTTAATCTCAAATAAGAGGCAAGGGGACTCGGGGATGGTGCTGACTGATAGCTCCATTGGAAACCATTGCATCATACCATAGCAATGATGCTTTTTTGACTAGAGTCCAAGTCATCCACAGGCTGGAGCAATAGCTCACTGTCCAGTCTCAGACAAACACGTGGTGTCTCCAGAGGAATCTAATGCTTGTAGCTAACATGACTCCTCCCATGTCATAAATGGTTGCTTTACATCCAAGCTGGCATTAAAGTGCAGGGTTGAAACCTCATCTATTTGAGCTCTAAATGGGCTTTGCATCTGTCCAAGATATCAAAGATCACTAAGCATCTTGTGTTCTATTTAATTTCAAACAAGAGCTAGTATGTTAGTTCCCCTCCCCACCCTTGAGTCTTGCCCATAATTTTTCTATGATTTCTTTGATGAAGTATTGAAGATTTCATGCTCTGAAATAAAATGAAATACAATGATTTTCATTTTTTAAAAAACCGTGGAAAACCAGTTTTTTTGCCACAGCCTCCCTTTGAAAATTCTCTGCACAATAAGCCTAACAGGATCACAGTATTAGAGGGAGCACTGTAGGTCACTGCTCCAAATGTATTTGTTTACAGTGGAGCCTCCAGTGGAGTTCTAGGTAAATGATTACATTATTGAACTACTTTTATTCTTAGCATATTTCTCTGAAGACTTACCCAAAATATGACTTTCTGTAACTTTAATGTCAGCAAATCTGTTTACAGCAAAAAAGAGCAAGTGTTTACTCAATTCTGTGTGAAAGCGTTTTGGGTATTTGAAGATTCTGATGTTCTTGCCCAGTCTTCTCCAGTTATCCAGTTCTTTCAGTCTTTCCTGTTGAACCTTTTCCTTTCCCCCCCACACCAATTGCCAACTTTATTGATTTGTCTACATCCCCCTTAAAGCTAGACATCCAGAAGGAGGCAGACTGCTCCAGATGAAGTATGAGTAATGCAGAATAGGTTTTTCCTGATGTGAACATTGTGGTCAAGTGGGAGAGCTAAAAATTATATAAGCCTTTTTATACCTGTCCTGTTTCAAACTTATGTTCCACTTTTTGAAAAATCTGTTTTATATGTACTGCTCCTCCCTAAATACTGGATTTCCCCCTCACACCATATTTTTCAAGATAATATTGCACTGTCAACTGCCAGCATTCCTTGCTATTTTATAGATAGAGCTAGTGGAGATTACAATCCTCCCATTATACTTACGACTTCCGTTTGATCAAATCTGAAAAATTAAAATGTTCTTCCCAGTTCTCATTCAGATACATTTACTTTTGTAGTTCCTTTGGTTTACTTTCTCCAAGAGATACAGTAGAGTCTCGCTTATCCAACCTTTGCTCATCCAACGTTCTGTATTATCCAACATGGTCTGCCTCCCACCCGGATCCACAATTGTCAATGCATTGTGATGTTTTGGTGTTAAATTCATAAATATAGTAATTACTACATAATGTTACCATGTATTGAACTGCTTTTCCTGTCAATTTGTTATAAAACATGATGTTTTGGTGTTTAATTTGTAAAATCATAACATATTTTGACATTTATTAGGCTTTTCCTTAATCTCTCCTTGTTATACAACATTTTTACTTATCCAACATACTGTCAGCCCATTTATGTTGGATAAGTGAGACTCTACTGTATAAGATTTTATCCCATGGGTAGTTAACCTAAATCACTGGATCACCTGTTGTCACAGATAATGGTAGTTTGTATTGCAACTGGATGAAATGACAGCCCATGAACCTGGTAAGTTAATATCTCTGCTTGCTTTGCCAGCTCTCAGTTGTAGATATTAGTTATTTTTTGGCTTTTAAGTCTTCTCTGCTGTGGTTTTTCAATGTTTTTATGAGTGATGGTCACTCGTTGGCTTGATATGTATATTGTGTCCAAATTTGGTGTCAATTCGTCCAGTGCTTTTTGAGTTATGTTAATCCCACAAATGAACATTAGATGTTTATTTATATAGATAGTATACAGTGAAAACTGCTTTGAACTTGCCTCATGACAACTGCTCTTGCCTTTAGAACCCCCCACAATTTCCGAAGATTAAATTTTAATTGGTTCGACTTAAAGTATCTTGATTTAAACATTATGAGTCCTAATTGTGTGTTGCATGTCCATATATGCATGCAGCTTAAGAGAAGTACTACATAGAAAGAAAAGGGATCTGGTGCCTCCAGATGTTCCATATGAAACATTTGAAACACAGCTAAAATGTATTTGTTGCCTTTTTACACATACACTCCTTGAGTCCTGCTTTTATCATCCAAATGTATTAGTGAATTCATAATGCAATTAGAGTACAGGAAACCTAATGCCTTTTGGGTTTCAAAGTCACTCTTTTCCTTCTCACAGCTGAACCATCTGGTGATAGAACATTTGGTAAGCTGTGGAATTCCAGCCGTGGGCATTTCGGTAAGGAGACCTGTTGGCTTTATTTTTTTCAAGGCTATTATAACTTCCCAGGGAATAAAGCACTATGGGTGGGAAAATATCCTGGCTGGATGGGAGGAAATTGGGACTATTAGTGGAGTTTAAATGTTGAGGAATTCTTGTGAATCTTAGTTTTACAAATCTTAGATTTGTCATTTGTCTTTTAATTTTTTAATTTAATTATTTTTGCATGTTGTCAATTCCTTTGTATAGTTGCCTTTTGAAGTAGCAATGCGCCGGTACCTTGGGAAGTCTGACTTGGCCACGGTGGTCCACGCTTTGATTACATCTCATTTAGACTACTGCAACGCTCTCTATATGGGGTTGCCTCTGAAGACTGCCCGGAAGCTGCAGCAAGTCCAACGCTCGGCAGCCAGATTACTAACGGGTGCTGGGTACAGGGAGCACACCACTCCGCTGTTACACCAGCTCCACTGGCTGCCAATTAGCTTCCGAGCACAATTCAAAGTGCTGGTGTTAACCTATAAAGCCCTAACGACTCTCGGCCCTGTTTACCTCTCCGAAAGTATTCTCCCCTATGAACCATCAAGATTATTAAGATCGTCTGGAGAGGCCCTGCTCTCAGTCCCACCGGCCTCGCAAGTGCGTCTGGTGGGGACGAGGGACAGGGCCTTCTCGGTGGTGGCCCCTCGGCTCTGGAACTCTCTCCCACTTGAGATCAGAACCTCCCCTTCTATCCTGATGTTTAGGAAACAGGTGAACACTTGGCTATGGAGACAGGCATTCGACGAATGAGTCAACACCCTGAGATATGGAAGAAGGATGATGAGCAACGATTTTAGTGTGACAACTGACCATTGTAATTATTGATTGTAATTGCTGTTTTAATGTTTTACTATAATGTGAATTATGATGTTTTATTGATTGTATGTGATATTATGGTTGGAAACCGGTCTGAGTCCCTCGAGAGAGGTGAGAAGGCCTGTATATAAAAAATTTTAAATAAATAAATAATAAATAATAAACTAATTCCTCCTAAGAAATATGGTTTTGCATCCACACAGCTTCAATTTATGGCAACTCTATGAATAAAAGACCTCAAAGTGCTGTAGTCATTAACAGCTCTAAAGTCTTTCAAACTCAGGGCCATTTTTTTTTTATGGAGTCAATCTATTTCTAATGTAGTTTTCTATTTTTTCCCCCTATGGCCTTCTATTTTACTTTAATAAGTTATGCCTTCTCACCATATTCTAAAATATGATGTGATCAGTTTAGTCATTTTGGCATCTTGTGAGAACTCGGGCTTAATTTCCTCCTGACTCATTCATTTGCCTTTTTGGCATAGTATCTGTAGATCTCTCCTCCACCACCATATTTCAGATGAGTTGATTTTACTCAAGTCAGTTTTCTTCACAGTACAGCTCTCACAATCATGTAGAGAAATTAGAAATGCTGTGACCTGAATTATTTTTATTTTGGTGTTCAATTATAGTATTTTGGAGTTGAAGCTCTTAATTTTCTTACTTCATAGGAAGCCTTGCAAGTCCTAGTCTTTTTCTGATTTCTTGACTGCAATCTCCATTTTGATGTATGAAAACTTTTAACATTTTCTGTGTCATTCTCACCCACTTCAAAGTGAGGTAAATTACCTGTTGTTGTTGTTATGCTCATAATTAGTTGCAATGCTCCTTTTGTACTTTCCTCTTTAGCTTTCATCAGTACCCATTCAAAGCCTGTTGTTTTCTGATAGTATTGGTTCTAATTCTTTTCTACTTTCTGCAGGTGTGTTAACTACTTTGTTGCCTAGTAGTTTTCCTGCCAGAGATGGCTTCTTTGTTCCCTTTTATTTCTCAGATTTTGCAGAAAAGCTATCTTGTTCTGCCTTTTTTGTTGCTTACTATTTCTTTGTACTGACTATTGTGATGATTCTCTTGTTCCTACATGCAATAACTGAATTGTTGCATTCTGTACTCCGATCCAGTTTTACTCCAGTTCCTGTAATTAGCAGTTCTACTTCTCATGGTTTCTTCATATTTTGCTTTATCTTGTGCAAAATATTTGAGTCCATTTGTCCATTTGATGACATTTGCATACATAATCATCTGTTAGATTACTCACATAATCCATTTGTTATGAACAACTTTATGCCTTCATGAAATTCAAGATCTTAGGATAAATTCAACAACATTGTGTGATTTTGCTCAGTTTTCTATTTTTGCATTCTAATAGACTGGTTAGCAACTTGTCCTGATTTATAAACGTATTGGTAGTGTTTTGATGTTGAAGTCTTCTCAGTATAATTTACTCAACTTACTGTTCCTTCTCACTTCCTGTAAATATAGATATTTTAGTTTAATAAGCAAGTGGCTTTTGAATGTTGGAATCGGGACGATCAGATCTCAAGTCTCCCCTCCTTAGTGGAAACCCAGTGGGAAACTATGGGCAAGTAGTATACTCTCAGCCTCAAAGGAAGGCATTGGCATTCCTTCTCTTGCCAAATCTTGCCAAGAAAACCCTGATAAAGTTTGTCTTATGTTCACCAAAAATTAGAAATGACTTGAAAGCTCACAGAAGCAACAAAATAATTGCTACAACTTTGGACTAGAAGGTCCATATTTTAGTAATCAGAATTAGAACAATCTCATATATGATTTACTGACATGCTTAATTAAAATATGCATTCATTAATGCATAAGTACAGCAACTTCCTCCATTTTGTTAGTCTATCTTGCAAAGTGATATTTTATTAGTTATGTAAAAGTTCGTAATTATTTTAATTTACTCTTCAGTATCCCCATATTTTGATGAATAACTTCAATCGTGAACCATTGACATCTTGTGGGTGAATCGTTTCATGGCTGGTAGTCAAGCTTGAGGCATTCCAGCATGAATGTGTTTGGTGTCTAAGTGTGAGATTGGCACATTCTATTTGATGTTTTGGGGATTTGTGTGTAGCAATATCATTGTTTGTGTTTATTTGTTTTTTTGATAGACATTTGGAACCTGGAAAACAGCATCCAAGAATGTCACTCAGGATGGAATTGATGCTGTGAAAGAAGCTTTAGATGCAGGTTATGTGCCAGTTTTACATGGAGATTGTGCTCTGGATTCAGAACAACATTGCTGTGTCTTATCTGGAGATACCATTATTGAGGTAAGAGATGTGGAAAATAAAAGTGCATATTCATGCATAGGAATAGTAACATTAGATATTTAGTCTTAATGGATAATTCCCTTCCTTCCATTTTGTTTTATTAGTAGTGCCCCTCCCCCCCATTTATAAACATGATTCCAACATGTGCAGACATCTTTCAGAAATATTTCCATGTAGATCTGGTTGAGAATTCCTTGACTTTTATGCATTCCAATTGGCATTGCAAAGACATGCGTATTCTGATCTAGCTTTTTAATCAATCATTGGAAAAATATAGGCTGTGAGCCACAAGAGCAGCATTTTAACTACAAATTCATGTTAAAAAGGCTCCCAGGGCAGCTTATATATAATTATTTATATGGTGCACTTCCTGCATTCCCTGTGTTTGTGATAAGTATTACAGAAAAAGAAAATGGGATTGGATGGGAAGAAGAAAAAACAAATTTAGATATCAACTCAAAAACTAATCAGTAGTTCCTCTAATCCAGGGGTCCTCAAACTAAGGCCCGGGGGCCGGATACAGCCTTCCAAGGTCATTTACCCGGCCCTCGCTCAGGGTCAACCTAAGTCTGAAACAACTTGAAAGCACACAACAACAACAATAATAATCCTATCTCATCAGCCAAAAGCAGGCCCACACTTCTCACTGAAATACTAATAAGTTTATATTTGTTTAAATTGTTCTTCATTTTAATTATTGTATTGTTCTCAAGTGTTTTTGCACTACAAATAAGATCTGTGCAGTGTGCATAGGAATTTGTTCATTTTTTTTCCAAATTATAATCCGGCCCTCCAACAGTTTGATGGACTGTGACCTGGCCCTCTGTTTAAAAAGTTTGAGGACCCCTGCTCTAATCACTAGCTGAAATAGAAACCACTGAGAGAGAGAGAAGTACTTTGATGGAGCCAGTGTTTCAAAGGAAAAAAAATAATGCATGGAGCCTTTATAGTCTGTTTTAAATACCCTTGTGATTGGGCTGATTAGTACTTCTAAGATTTTTTTTTATGAGGAGTGAATGTGTTGATACCATTTTAATCTTCTAAACTGCCTATCCACATGTAAGCTAATATAGCAGTATTTCAGACTTTTAACCTGAGGGCTATGGGAGACCCTGGAAAATTAATGAGCTGGGCAAAGTCATTATACAGTTGTTCACATTCATTTTTTCCTCCTCAGGTTCTAGCTAAGAAGTTCTCTCCTAGGCGAGTTGTGTTTCTCACAGACGTGAATGGAATTTTTAGCTGTCCACCTGACACACCAGGTACGGATTAAGTCTCTGTATGTCAGCATGAAACCTACTCATGGTATGCATAACATGAATTATTCAATTGAATAAGCAAAATCTTTTTGTTGACTATATTAAACACTTCCTTTTCCTTCCTGCACTCAGTAGTACTGTCATTAAATTCGTTGTTAATAAACCAGACAGCATGAATAGGTCTTTCAGATTTAGAAACTAGTGGGATGAGCTAGAATGTTCCCATTTTGCCATAAAAGTAATCCTAGCTGCATGCAAAAAGGAGAGCCAGTGCATTGTGGAATGCACATAACTCATCAGGAATAACAAGACCCTGGAAGTTTTGGCGAACTTATTTCCTGTCTCTCAGACATGAGTGTCTCTTCATGCCTTTCCTTGTGATCCTAATTCTGAAACCTGTGTTTCTTGTGATACAGGTGCTAAACTTCTAGATCGTATTATTATTAATCCTAATGGAACTATGGAACCACACATTCTTACATCTATGTTGCCACATGACACAACTGGAGGTGTGTCTATGAAGTTGCAAGCTTCTGTAAACATAGTTTCTCAGAGCCATGGAGCCATTCCTGTTCTCATCTGCAAACTGGACAGTGATGCAGCTGAAAAAGCTTGCCTGACAGGGGAGTTGATGGAAGGTGAAGGCACAAAGCTTTTCTTCAAGGAAGCATGAAGATATCTCTGTTAAGTTAAGCAAGAGGCGAGTTAACCAAGTTGGTACAGTTTGGACATTATAATTGTTCGTAGAATTTACTAATGACAGTCACAATCAATTTCAAATACCTTAAATTAAGGATTCTTTGTTACTCTATTTACGCTGACTTGAGCATGGTGACATATAAGCCACCGCTATTAATTTTTACTATTTAACAAATATTTTTTTCAAATATTCTTTCCATTCCATGTGTGTTGACAAGGGAAGTTTGTAAAGAAGCTATAAATTTGTTAGATTGAACATATCTACAAGTTCTACACAATTAGATTCTCTTAAGTCATGCACTCACCCCCTTTGAAGACCTTTCCTGTCAATATTTCAATATCAAGAGTGATGGGGGCAGGACTGGATATGGCATTATCCTGGGATTGGATAACAGTGGTAGATCTGGAGCTATCTCCACCACTCCTGGCTGAATACCCACTTTGTTTTTCAGCTCCATGTTTTTTATGTCAAAACAAGACCTGCAAGATTAAAGAAAGGCTTTTAGGAAAGTGCTTCTCCATTTCAGATTTAGGAGTGGTTCTGGAACCTGCATAATTATAGGCAGAGGCAAAAATGAATTGTGCTGTTCTGTGAAAGAAATTACAGATTTTGGAAAAGAAAAATTAAGAAGTAGATGAGGAAAGTGACTTTGAATATCCTGCCAATCTGCTTTTGAGTGTACTCTTATTGCAGCAAGCTTATGGTATCAACATTGTAGATACTGATACATTCTTCTTAAATGGCAGACAGACATTTTTTTTCTTTTAAAAGGCTGAAGTATACTGTAGGTTGAAATCTGAATGTAGAAAAGAGGGAGGCCCTGAAGGATTAAAAAGAAACAAGGCAAGCCTAAGAGAGAGAGACAAGATAAGACAGCTATGAACAAGGTGTTGACAAGTTGTTTCACTCAAAAAAGATACAATTTCTTAGAATCATACAGTCATCAAGTTCTCCATTTAATGCAGGCAATTCAACTAGACCATCCCCAGCAGGTAGCTGTCTATCATATTTTGATGAATGGAGAAAAAGGCCCCCATCAGCTTTCTAGTTAATTTATTCCATTGCTGAACATCTCTCACTGTTAAGAAATTTCTTCTAATGTTCAGTTAAAATGTACTATTCTGTCATTAAAAATGTGCTCTGGTCCTACCCTCTAGAGCAGTAGAGAATAAACCTATAGACCCCTCTCTGTGATAACCCTTGAGATATTTAAGGAGTACAATCTTGTTATCTCTCAGTATTCAATTTACTAGGATGAATATTTTTAAGTCTCAAATCCTTTCCTCAAATGTTTTGTTCTCCACATGTCTTATCACCTTGTTGCCTATATATATATATATATATATATATACACACACACACATACACTACTTTCTGAAACATAGGACATAGGAATTGACCGCCAATTACTAGTGGACTACAGCATTTCCACATGTCTTTTTCTGTATATGTTTATTTGGATAGATACTGACCTGGACACCTCCTCAGGCAGCTTGCGCAAGGTTTGGATGTAGACGGTGAGCTGTGATATATGGGTATCCTTGCAGGTCAGCAATTCAGAGGATATTAGTGAAAGCAAGAGTGCTGTCATGCAGCTTTGGTTCATCTATTTATAGCTCATCACATACATTATAGGTAATCACACTTAAGGTGACAGAATTCAACTAGGTGGTGAACTTAAAGTCCAAGTGAGATAGCTCTTTAGAATGTTGTTTATGGATAAAGTTCTACTTTCAATGGCTTGTTTTCCCGTGGATGTTATTTTGTTAAATCTTTTTCTAGGACGAAAGGACTATAGGAATAAGGTGTTTTCCCTCTCAGAAATGCCAGCTCTGAATTGAGGCCATTTTACGTTGTGATGTACTAGCGTGGCTAAAGGGGGGAAGTATGAATGCCATTTAAACATATAATTTTAGAGCATCTTATACACACCCCCAATTTCATAATCAAATGTTACTGTGTGCCTCTTGGGGTGCAGCAGTTCTTCTGAAGGCTGGACCTGCTACTAGGTAGAGTGAAAGAGTAGGTTTGGAGTATCCTAAAAAAGCATCACATTGTTATTTCATCCCTTTGTTATTATTATATTTTCCCTGCCAAGGATAAGGTATGTCTTACTGTACCAATAAATTCACTGCTTCCTATAGCAATACATGCACTGTCTTTTAGATACTTAGAAGCCTGACTTTGTTGACTTGGTAGTTTTGCCTCAGGTAGCAAAATGACTTGTGTTATCTCTGAGTCCACTGTTTCCATTAATACCATCAAGCCCTCTGGGACATATTTTCCCGGACCGCACAGGCCATTGGACAGTTACGGAGGAACATAATCATGCATTCAAATTGCACTTCATAACTGCTCTGACAGTTAGGCATACAATGATTAGAATTAAGAAGTGATGTTTAGAGAACATGTGAGTGATGGCTAATGGAGGGTTGATGTCTCTGTGTGAATTTTGTGACGGGAAGCTTAAGCAGCAAAACAAGCAGCATAGTAAATGTCTGTCTGTTATAACTCTCTCTGGATAAGAAGAGAGGTCACTTGTGTGTTCCAGAATGTATGTCTCATGAGAAAACTATGGAAGCCACAGTGGTCAGAAGTGAGTTGCGCAATTGGCGGGGGGGGGGGGGGGGGGAGGATTGGGGGCAGGCTTGGAAATAACAGCAAGTTCAGATACATGCTTCATCCTTTAGAGGACACAGGACCTGCAGAATCCTTACATAGTATCATAAAGCTGGAAGAGACCTCATGGGCCATCCAGTCCAACCCCATGCCAAGAATCAGGAAAATCGCATTCTCAATCATATTTATCTAATGTGCAGATCAAGACAGTTTTTCCAATTGAGGGTGGGACTGGAGCCTCAGTGAGTTGCCTTTTTTCTGTGAACTGGAGTTAAGAAAATGAGAACTGTTTATAAGATTTTAATCAAAAAAACATAAAGTCCAACAAAAACATGGGCAAATAGGACATATTTGAAAATAAGACACAGTGATTTTGAAAAGATACACATTTCTCATTTTTAGAAATATAGAGACTGCATTGGGAATAAATTGTTAAACACATATGAAGACAAGGGGAAAAAAGAAAATTTTAAAGGCTTGCTTGCTGCTGTTAACCCTGTAATTGCTGGAAGTTATACTGAAGATGGATCAATGTCCTTCTCCAGAAAATTTAAAGAAACTGCTGGAGGAGAAAAAATATTTGAAAAATAGTCATATGCTAAAATTGAAAGTGAAGTTTAAAAGAAGATCAGAAAAAGGAGGTTAAAAATTTAAAGAATTAATAAATAATTTCATGAAACAAAGTAATACTGAAGTAGAAATTGGAAAATAAAGTTGAAATGGTAAACAAAGAAGAATGATTTAGATATTTTGGCATTGTTAAAAGAAGTTGGTGTGTCGGCATATACGTTAAGGAAAAATATGAATCTAGACGATGGAGTTGATGGATGGATTACTTTAAAAACTGAGAAGAATGAGGATTATCGGGTTGTTGCTAGGATTCATGTGGATTGTCTTCTATTTCAAAATAATTTTGTTAAGATATAGAGTGGAAATGAGAAGGTCGTGACAGGATGGGAAAGCATTTCTGTGATAAAAAAGAGACTATTTTGTCCAGAATGATGTTTCTGTTTCAGACAGCGTTTGTTTTATAAATGTACTACTTCAGCAATAGCAATGAGCTATGTTCGGGTCTGTGAGACAGGGAAATAAGCCATTTGTTAAATACAAAATAAGGAGCAAGTTAAATGATATTTGTTAAAATGGGTTAAAAGCTAGGCTATAATACTCAGATTGATTAATGGAAAATATGTCATCAAAGAGAATGTGATTTGTATCTTTTTTTTAAAACATTTCTTATGAAATTATGTACTATTGCTTTAAAATGACAGAAAAATGTTTTTAAAATGTATAAAATGTTTAAAGTGTACAATGGAAATGTGATTATTCCAGAAATTTAATATTGGGTGTATTTTGTCTTAAATTGTTTATTTTAAGATGTGGAGTGGAATTACACAATGACGTGGGAACATGCTCATTGAATGTATGTTGGAGACGTAAATAATATGAGAAGATTAACACTCAATTAGAACTAGGACTTTTTTCTTCTTTGGAATGATCAATGTACAGTTGGGAAGAGGAGGGAAGGCAGAAGATTATTATAATGTATGAACACAGCAAGACTGTTTGATGAGTAAAGTTGGAAGAATTTGAGATGCTGAAGGAACAGTAATTGAAACTCAAAAATTTTGTAGAAATTGACAATTTCTTTAGTTTGATTAAAGAACGGTTGTTAGTAACATTTATTAATTATCTGAAACTCCTTATAGTCTTTGGGGAACAAAAAAGAAAATGATTTGGTGATGTTGGGTTCTAATGATTAGATTAAATAGGTTAGTTAAAAAGAATATGAGAAGTATGATTGTCAAAGGGATGATGGAAAGTCTCTTTTCCTTTTTCTCTTCTATTATTTTATTCTGTTGTGTAATTTTCAATTAATAAAGAAAAAGGATGAAAAATATATGATTGCAACCACAATGGACTTTTATCATTTTTGGCAAGATTTAGATCATACATATTCTGTCAGCATTGAGTGTGTTACCCTGTGTAAACACAATTAGTTGCTATCATTCTTATCTGTTGTCATGTTGGTTCCAATTGTCTGGTGTTTTCTAAATTTGATGTATGATGTTATTCAATGATGGAGGTGATGTATGCTAGACCAAGAGATTGTATTACCAATCTGGATAGCAGATTTTGGAGTGCCAAAAAAAAAAAAAATCAGTTGCGCATTTCATGTGTCAGCTGGCAATGATCTAATAGGAGTTCCAGAAGGGTCTACCCTCAATACCATTAAATTTTTTATCCCAAGTAAAGGGAAAATAGGATACATCCCAAACTTACTTGGGTTGTCATCTCAGTGTTGTTGATGACCACCTCCTGGTGCTAGTAATCCCTCCTGACAGCAAGGTATTAGATAACTGAAATTCTAATGCTAATGGTTAAATAATTGTTCATTGAATTGTATGTATTCCCTGACACAGTTGCTCTGAACCAATATGGAGTGCATGCATGCTTAATCTGTATCATGTTTTCCCCAGTGACCCCTTTGAAATGTAGCAACAACATTTGAACGTGACAATCCCAGGCTTGTCTTGTGAATGTTACATTCATCAGTGCATTTTCACAGCTAGTATTTACTTGTGCCTAACTGAAAAATGGGAAGACCTCATTGTTCAGGCATTTGGAGAAGGATGTCAGCGTCAACCAGATATTTTACACAAATATTTTCAATATATGTCAAACCATTATTTTAAATATATCATGTAGGTTTCAAGGATATCTGCACAACATTCCAAAAACCCATAATGTGTTTCAATCAGAGTTGGAATTATTAGTCCTCTGAATATTCCTGAATTACTATTCCCAGTATCCCTTACCATTGACACTTCTAGATAAGGTTGCTGGGAACAAACTGCATTTGTCATAGTAATGAGAACTCTAATGAAGAGGGACAACCCACAGTATCTTACCATGACAGTATCCCCCTGCAAGTGATTGGTCCAGATTTGGGAAGAAAAAACATAATTCGTAGACATCATAGAGTTGGAGTTGGACAATCATGGCATCATAGAGTTGGAGGAAACCTTGTAGGCCATCCAGTCCAACTCCCTGCCAAGAAGCAGGAAAACCATATTCAAAGCACCCCTGACAGATGGCCATCCCGTTTCTACTTAAAAGCCTCCAAAGAAGGAGCCTCCACCACACTCCGGGGCAGAGTTCCACTGCTAAACAGCTCTCACAGTCAGGAGGTTCTTTCTAGTGTTCAGGTGGAATCTCTTTTCCTGTAGTTTGACGCCATTATTCCACATCCTAGTCTTCAGGACAGCAGAAAACAAGCTTACACCCTCCTCCCTATTTATACATGGCCATCATGTCTCCTCTCAGCCTTATCTTCTCCAGGCCAAACATGTCGAGTTCTTTAAGTTGCTCCTCATAGGGCTTGTTCTCCAGATCCTTTATCATTTTAATTGCCCTCCTCTGGACACATTCCAGCTTGTCAACATCTCCCTTAAATTGCTGTTCCCAGAATTGGACACTGTATTACAGGTGTGGTCTAGCCAAGGCAGAATAGAGGAGTAGCATGACTTCCCATGATCTAGACACTGTACTCCTGTTTATGCAGGCTGAAATCCCATTGGATTTTTTAAGCCACCACATCATATTTTTGGCGCATATTTAAATTGTTGTCCACAAGAACTCAAGATTTTTCACACATGCTGCTATTAAGCCAGGCGTCCCCCATTCTGTATCATTGCATTTCATTTTTCTGCCTAAGTGGAGTACCTTGCATTTGTCCCCACTGAACTTCATTTTGTTAGTTTTGGCCCATCTCTCTAATCTGTTTTGATCGTTTTGAATTCTGTTCCTGTCTTCTGGAGTATTGGCTATTCCTCCTAATTTGGTGTCATCTGACCAGAAGGCCTTACTGAAATCCAAATACACTACATCCACAGCATTCCCTGCTTCTATCCAGCTTGTAACTCTATTGAAAAAAAAGATCAGATTAGTCTGGCATGACTATTCTGGCATCAACATCAGGCTGACTGGATGGTAATTAATTGTGTCATCCTTTTTCCCCTTCTTGAAGTTAGGAACCACATTTGCTCTCCAAACTGCTGGGACTTCTCCTGTTCTCCAAGAACTCTCAAAGATGATTGTCAGTGGTTCCGAGATGACTTTCGCTAGTTCCTTCAATACTCTTGGATGTAGTTGATCTGGCCCTGGGAACTTGAATTTGTTTAGAGTGGCCAGGTATTCCTGGACAACTTATTTCCCTATTTGGGGTTGGATTTCCCCTAATCCTTCATCCACTCCATCTTACTGAGGTTGAGGACAACTTCCTTTTTGTGAGAAGACTTAGGTAAAGAACGCATTAATAGTTCTGCCTTTTCCTTATCCCCTGTAAGCATTATCCCGTCTTCTCCTCTCAGACCCCTATCGCCTCCTTGTTCTTCCTTTTTCTACTGACATAAGAAAATAAGCCCTTTTTATTGTTTTAATGTCCCTGGCAGACCTGAGATCATTTTGCACTTTAGTCTTGCAGTTTCAATAAGGCCTTTTCCGTACAGGAGTTGGAAAATAGAGAAAAGAGAGCTGCACAAAGAGAGAAAAAGAAGGATGGACCTGCCAACCAGTGACACCAGCCCTTCCCACTGTACAGCTGGCAGTACAGATAGCTGTTGTCATAACTGCTGACAGATTACCCAAGTAGAAAGTTGTTCTCTGTACTTTTCTGAGCTATATATCAGTGGCAGGGATGGAAGGCACAGCCATCCAAATGTTTTTGTAGTGTAATGGTGAAAGATGATGGGAATTGAAACCCAGCATCTCCTGAGATGTGCATTCCTCATTCATGCTATAAGCATGGGCATAAAACTATTTGAGAAACCCAATTAACAAAGTTTGCCAATAAATCCGAAGTTAGTCATCCACTGAAATGAATGGAAATAAGATGAGTCATGTCACTGAAATCCTCTTCATTTCACCAGATTTTTAAGTTTGTCCAACCCCAAAATAATAAAAATTTGGAAAGTATAACAAAATTAAAATCTTAACTAAAAATTCTACAAAGGCTACTATTTCATATATTCTTTTCATTTTACTGAGTAGAAATCATTTTATCTCTTTCACTCCCCCAAAAAAGGAAATTTGTTTCCTCGTATCATGAAGATAGCATGTGCAAAAATATATCCTATCCATAACTGCCAACTTTATTTTCATCCAAATGAAAAGCCAAATCCTTATTTAGAATATAGACTTTCTAGAGATTTCAGAAAACATGCAATAAATAAAAGCAACAACTGTGGGTAATCTAAAGTATCTACAGTCAGTTACTCGCACTCTGATAGTATTTTTAGACTTTATTTGGTTCAGAGAAAATACTAGTTGTGCATAATTTGAGAAAATCTGGGAGACAATCTTGGATATGCAAATTGTTCCTGCCCCATGTGGAAATATTTTAGAGATTTTATGAGAGCCATGCTTTGAAAGGAAATCGGATCAGCAGAAAATCAACACTTCAAATTGATTTATGAAATGTCAAAGAATTAACTTAAGCTTAAATTTGTATAGCACTGTCTCTGGCATGTACTGAAATAATAATGGCTAGAAGGCAGATGCCATAAGTTTCCAATTTAAAAAATGGGATTTATTACCAGCTAATCGCTGTATGACAAGCTTTCACCTATGAAAGGGAGAGGGCAAGAGAGGGAGAGGGAGAGAGAGAGAAAGTGAGACGGACTAAGAGAGAAACAGCCAGAAGGCTCTTACTGACCTAGTTCTAAGCTAGCTCTTCAGTTGCTGAGTACTGACTATAACAGAGACCCTTGTGAGAAGAGGCAAAGAGGCAGACGTTAATAAGGAGAGAAAGGCAAGAATAGTAACAAAAACAGGTGAGTCACAAATCCTTAAAGTTCCTGAACAAGCAATTATTGCCATAGCATGACAAAGTCATCTTTTAGCTAACAATCTTGACTCAACAGGTGGATCACCAGCAAGCAGTGATATCTCTCGAAGTGGTGAACTAGAAAAGTGCAAGGAAGCTTCTGTATCTGCATTGTGTTTCCAAAGTAGTGTGTGGGTTGAGGGAGATCCTTCTGGGTTAGAGATTTTGTATTATTTTTCTTGTATTTTTGAGAAGATAGCTTTATGATTTCATGTTGATGAGCCTTCATTTCGTTTGTTCATCACTAGCTAAAGAGGGGATTTAGTTGGGAAAGTACAAAATATTGAAATAGCAGGTGTAAGCCCCAGCGGTTTGGATTCTTTGGACATTTGATTACTTTGATTTCTTTGATTGCCTAAAGCTAATGGGTGAAAAGTAAGAAATGATGAAAAAGTGAGATTCACTAGAGTATGTGATTGTGCTATTGGATGCAGTCATTTATGCTTAAGTTCCATTGAACTCAATTCCACATAAATGTGCATGACACTGAGAAGATTTGCAGCCAATTTTAGTAGCGTCATTGTTTTTAAAAAACTTATATCCTCAAACTGAGGAATATTATGCTATATTTATAATTTTAAAGGTGGTGGCTATTTTGTTAACCCCACCTTTGCCAAGTTGCATTGCATGCTAAATGTTTGGAGCACCCGCTGTTAATTTTAGCTGAAACAAGAAGCCATCTGATGAAACGCGGTGACCATATAAGGCAATACGGAGCAGCACCGCTGTATCTTTTAACATTTGGAGTATGTTTAAAAACCCTTTTCTAGTATTTCTCTCACAAAGAAAGAGGTCAGAAACAATCTAGTGGATATTCTAACTGTTTGATTAGGTGATGGAGTTGCTCAATGCTTCTGTATTGGTTGGTCTTCAATAGTAGGATAGAGAATTTTAAAGTTATACTCTCAAAGGAATTGGCTTAAGGATTCTTAGTGTTGTGATCTAAAAATTATTTTTTTAAAGATTTGATCTAGGAAAATGGTAACTAGACATGATGTTTAGGCAGGGACATGGGAAGAGTGGAAGTTGTAAGAGCAGGGTATTCAGGGAAGAAGAGCTGAGTGACAGGTGTAAAAGCAAACCATGCACCTTCTAAATCACATATCAAGTTGGCCAACAACACTGGTCAGTCATTTAAATCAATTTTAAATGAGGGAACAGCAGAAGCTCTGTGTGTCACGGGGAAGGAAGGAGCTAATTTACAGCTTGGAAACTGCATGTTGCTGCATTCTGCATTTGTGAGGTTAGATTTTAATCCCTGCCCCTTGACAACCAACAGCAAACACACAGAGATACAATTTAAGCTGTGCAAGGATATTGGAATCACAGTCATTCTTTACTTGGGAGGGATTCTAAACTTTAGAACTCTTTAAAAATGCAATTCTTGCATCTGATCTCTAAAATGCAAGTTGACCAGCTGTTCTTAGAAGCACTCTGAATTCCTATTGCATGTGGCGTTCAAAAGTATTTTCTTCATTATTCAGGAGCTATAAGACCAGATTTAAAGCATATGCTAAGTCATTCTTTTCAGCTATGGCCAATGTGTAAATGAATGTTCTTCATTCAGAGACCATTTTATCTTATGGACATGGAATTCTGGCCAGACCACTGTCAATATTTCATCTCAAGATATGGTTTTGTGAGATGTGCAAGGGCAGGTTGCTTTCTTTTGCATCACATTTGTGATGGAGCAAACCCACAATTATTTTGACATTACTCAAAACATGTTTTTGAATGAATGCAAAACTTTCAGTTATTTTCAACATTCTAGTATCTGTAAATGAACAGCTTGGGGTAGATGAATCTGGGCATCCCTAAGATGTGTTACAGCCCAATACACTAGGACTGAACTGTGGAAAAGTTATGTGAAAACTGACAAATTGTCTCATCAGAAGGAATGCTAACTGTGCTAATATAAACCACAAAAAGAAAAAAAGAATGTTGATTGGAGTTTTAAAATAAATGTATGAATAGCAAGTGAAAATTTTCAATCTGTTAATTATCTTCCTCAGCTTATTTTTCCTAATTTGGTTTCTTCAAAAATATTGTTTTTAATCCTGTGTGAATACAACTATTTGGCTGGCTAATCAGTTAAAATAAATTACAATTAATTGAGGTAGGCAATGGTTAAACATGTGCAAACCAGGGAGGAAGTATCACTCTGAATACAGTGATTTTTGTATTCTGAAAAAATAACCTGAAAAATAGTTATTTTGGGTCCCATGTATGAGAAAGGTGGAGGATAAATTAAATAAACAGAATAAACAAACAGCAATGTCTTTTATCAAGACAATTTAATGACCTAAATAATAGTAACAGTCTCTTTTGGAAGGTTATTTCCTGCACAAGTGTTCTTTTCAGTTACACCTCTTTAGTTGGAGGCTAGGATGTTAAATCAGTTTCAGAAGAGATGCCAACTCCAAATACTTTGGAAAGGTTGTAGGCAAACTTATGTGTTAAATAATTTCCAAAGCCTTTGTCAGCACAACAAAAATAACAACACCAGCAGCAGCAGCAACAACAACGAGTCCTATGGCATCTCAAAGACTAACCCACCAAAGCTCATGTTATAAAAATGTTGTTAGCCATAGGATGCTGCAGGTCTTTTTTGTTTATATGTCATAGATACATAGAACTTTCTGACATTGAGAACCTTTGCATCTTAAGATTAAGAAATAACCTTTGAGAGCACACTTCTCAAAATAACTTGGGAAATGTTTTCAAATTCTACAGCTAAAAAGTTCAATTAAAAACAAAAACTTCCATCTCTAAGGGCTTGCTGCTTCATGCAAAACTTTCTGCTATTTTCGTGCCTTCTAGCTACCATGGAAATGCTCACAACCATATCAATTCTATAGACAACATTCTATGTTCATTACCATTTACAAAAAATGATATGTGCTGAATTCAGATCATCTTGTCAATTCATGGACAACATGATCACCTCCATGAACACCCACATGCATCCCAAGTTGTAGTAGGAAGTAATCGCTACATTTAAGGGGACTTGTAAGTGGTAACACCTCCTCAACATGAAAGTATAAGTTTCAGGAAAATGTTGGTCTGCCTGTAAGTTTTTCTTCTATATATTCTTTTCTTGTATAAATTTTCTGTGTTGCAAATTGTGTTCAGAATGTGCTAATCATCACTATAAAAATATACCCATTATATATAATATATATGGAGAAACTTCGTACAAATGGAAATTCTGAAATCCCATTCCATGAATGTTTTTGAAGACTCATCTTGAATTCCAATATGCTAAAGTTCTCCTGGTTGTCATTTCCCATAGGAGCTCTGTCAAGCATGGATCATAGTCTTCATCTATCATTGCTACAAAGGATGTCTCTGTAAACTTGACTGGTCAAAGTATAAAACCGAGTTTAACTTCATATTCACCAGATTAAGAGATTGAAAGATACTTTGAGTTATAGCAGAAATCTTGGTAAACGATCATACATCACTACAATTCGGCACTACTTGAACTATCTGGATAGATTGATATGGGGATGATTGATATGCGCCTTGAGCATAGTGAAAGACGTAATAAATGACGCATAAAGTCTGCATAGTACAGAAAATGGAGGACGTTGTCAAGAATCTTACCTCTACCCTAACTGCTGTCAAATTTAATCCTGAGAGGACGGGGGGTGATGGGATTACACCACACAGCAGTTATTTTCCCTGATCCTTTTTCACTGACGCCAACATAGCACATTTGGTCACATGTAACTTGTGCGCTGAAATTCATGGCGGCTGTTAAACGTACATAGCGCCTTTCTGTTTCTTCATTGCATTTCAGTGGGTATCCAAGAGTTAATGGGTCCCAGCTGGGAGGAGCAAGACAGTCCATGAAATGGAAGAAGGTCAGTCTGGGGGAATTTGGCTTTCTCACAAATGGTTTTAAGTTCCCAGACTATCTCTGGTTCTATTTACTGTCTGAGAACTGAAATTGACCAGGATCAGAAGAATTCTGGTTTCTGGTGTCTATATGAACGACTATAAAGGATTAAGAGAGGTTCGGAAACTTTTTCCAGGTGGAAAATCTTCCATGACAGCAATTATACCAAAACTGCCTATAGCAGTGTCCCCTGCTCCCTTCACTATCAGTAGTTAGTCTTGCTGCCTGAGAATAGCTGTCAAAATGGAAAGGTTTGTTTAAAAATCTAGGAGACAATGTGCTCCATCACTGAAATGTGTGGGCAGTTGGAAAAAAGCAAACAAGAAGAGAGAAAATCAGGAGAAACACTGAGGGAATGGGAATTTTAATGAAACATAATAACACATTTGAATCACTGTATTTGATGTCATGGCATCTTGGATTAAGCAAAACCATATCGTTTATGAAAGATCATGATCATATTCTAGCGACTTCAATCTGATATTTCATTTCAGTTGTATAGATACAGTTATTTCCCTCAATTTTTAACAATTTTGTTTGTGCTGTTTACATCTGGAAATTTACATCTGGAAAAAAATAGAATTAAATAGCCCACCAAATGTTGTTGGATAGCTACCCGCAGTAGTTCTATCCACCATAAACAATGCTGGAGTTTTCAATCCAACCTCATTTAGAAGGCTGCAGGATGGATTCCCATGCTGATTTATGGGGAAGGGATTCAACTTCCATCCTTTAGAACTGCTGCCCTGATGAGATGTATCTCTGACCTTCCTTCCATGGATTATTCAATATAAAAATGAAAATATTGGGAAATCCACAGCCAAAAATTCCACATTACATGTAAACTTGTCCTGAGGATTGGAACATTTAGTTATTCACTTAACATGAGACCTTTTACTTGTGGAAATCAATCATGATTACAACTGAATGTCAAGTCACTGCGGGGCAGAAAGAGCCACTGGGTTGTTTTTTTAATTGTTTGAAAGTAATTTTATCTTTATTTTTTATTGAAGATTTTGTTAGCCCATGTACAGGTGGCAATAATA